TTGATTGTAATTTCGAACTTGATCCTTAGTGTGAAGTTGACTCTCATTTTAAATTTGACTGTCAATTTTGACTTGATTGTGATTTTAAACTTGACTGTCATTTTGGACTTGAGTGTAATTTCAAACTTGACTGTAATTTTTAACTTGATTCTCATTTTATACTTGACACTCATTTTAAACTTGGCTTTTATTTTGAAATAAACGACTATTTTGTATTTTGAAACAAACTTGAAATTTTAATGCGCCAACCTAATTAATACCCTAGAACCTCTTTCAACTCAAATTACTCATCATCATCATCATCATCAAACGCGAAGTAAAATTATTGAATAAATAAATAAAAGAAGGCGAAATAAGAGCTAATATAATAATGATAAAACATACACATTAACAAAACAATGATAGAATTTCAAAAACCGTAACGGAATTGTAAATAAAAATTAAAAAAATAAAATCTCAAACCAGAAACAAGAAAGGAAAAAAAAGTTCACATAGACTGGGAATCAGATTATTATGGCAAAAGCATATTTTCTGCTAATTTCAGCAACTTAATTTACTTTTTTTTCTATAAATTTTTTATTCATGTCATGAGGTGCTGCTTTAATTGCAACAACAATTGTGTTATTCAAGCATGTATATTAAATTTCATGCTGCTAAGCGTTTTCGATTGTTTTTAAGTTTCGCTGATGAATCGCGGTTATTTAAAAATCTTTTCTAGGAAATTAATGAGTTAAATTATTCAATCATCACTTGTGTTCATTTGATTGTGGAGATTATAAACCATCGGATCTGTGTTTTTACAGCTGAAAGAGCAATCAATATTTTTTATGATGAGAAAAATATTCAATCAAACATGATAAAAACCATGAATCATGAATAAATTGTGCGACTATGCCTATGGGGAAATACGAAAGTGTGGCAAATTTGAATTCTTTTTTTGTTTTATTGAAACATAGCGCTATGCTGGCAGGGGGTTCGGTATGAGCTTTAAATGGCCTTCGATTTTGAGATAAGTGAATTATGTTTATTATTTTTTTGGAGGTATTGTTGCTGTTTGTTTCCTTAAAATGCTAAAATCAGAGCTATGAATGAATAAGGCACTAAGGTCGGTCTGCATCGCTTCTAACCTCTAATTCACAACTGCAATTAATCTTCACGAGTCCACCAGCAAATCATCCTCACATCATGCACCACCAACTTTCCACAATTAACAATTGATTCCCAATCACAATATCACCATAATTAACATCCGAACAGCTCATTTGCAAAATCACTTCCTCATTAAACCCTGCATCAAACTTTTTTCCCTCTTCTTCTTATTATTCCAATTCTTAATTAACCTTCATTTATTCATTGCGTCCATCCCTCTGGTTGATTAAACCAAAATGAGAAAAAGTCATTCAAATCGATGCAGTCAGACGTGAAGAAACTCAATCAACAGAGACGACTTTTAGCAGCCCGAAAACTGAATTATAACAATTCTCTTTGTGGGAACTTTCGATAACACACACAAAAAAGTTGGATTTCCTCTGAGTTTTTTTTTTTGCGACAACATTGTTTCCAATTTCCATTTAAATAGGCGGCTATTCATAAACTTAATTCGTTACACAACAATAAGCGACAAAGATTAAATTGGTTTAATTCGATTTTATTATTAACAATCATGAGAGATGAGAAGCAAACAGCACATTTGGTCACATAGATGTAGGTCAGGATCGTAAATAATAATTAAAATACAATAATAAGCCGGTGAAAAGATCAAATTGTACAATTAAATTGCTACAAGCTACCAAAACTGATCAAATTTATTTAATTTGGAATGAATTTCTATTTTTGGAGGAAATGGATGGAGTTTTGGCGTGTGTGTTTGTTTTTTGGTGGAATGGTAAAGTGACTCAAATGGTATGTGTTGATTGCAATTGTCGGAATGAAGTGATAATGACATGAAATATTTTTTGAATTGCATATTTAAAATTGTTCATTTTTGGGGGATTTATATCGATTATTTGTGTTTGTAGGATGGGTAGAGCATTTGTTGATGATGGTAACATTCACAAATATTTGAATATTTATGTGAATGTGTATGATGAATAGTTGAAGTGGGGTTTGGACCTCGGTGGTGGAGTTAAACTTAGAGTTTTTTGGAATCATTCAACTTCTAGACGTGAGTTTAATTCCTTACGCAATAATGGAAGATCGTACAATCCACTTGACATTACAAACATTAAATTACTTATCCAGAGTAGTTCCAGATCCTTAACAAACTAAATTGTCCTCTCTTAACTCAAACATCACATCCGTAGTTCCGCTCGTGCAGCACCACATCAAAATTTTATTTAAAAGAGTCTAGAAGAGTTATTATTATCTTAAATTGCATGTCAAATTAGAGGTTTAAGATGCAGATACACCACGTGCCACGAATTTGCAGCTGTCATCAGTTGCTTGCCACATTATTCTGCAGTACATCTTCCACAAAAACAGAAAATTAAACATAAAAATGTTAAAACAATCTAAAAAGCCTTTCAAAAAGAAATAAAAATTCCATATCAAATCTACCTTTAATTAAGAGTCAATTCCAAAACGACAAATATGCATCAACCTGTTGTGACTCTTTGTTATGCCTTTTAACAAAAAGTTCTGTCTGCATAACAGCAGGTGCAGAGGTTATAAAATACGATAAACTCAAGGGAATTTTTAAGTTCTTTCAACATTCAAGTGAGACCCTCTTTAAATAAAATTCTCTGATATACAAAATTTTAAAATGCAACTGCATGACGTTTCGGAAGTAAACTATTAAATAAGACTGGTTTTGAAGCAAGTTACATAAATATGTATATCAATGCAGCTCAGCAGTCAACATAAATATACTTTATGATTGCTTGTGGGGGAGGTTGTAAGTGATGTTACATGTTTTATGGGATGAAGTTGAGTGCTTACCATGTCCAAGGATTTAAACTACATTCAAAATTTAATCTTGGAGTAACCCTAAGGATGTAGTCAAGGAGGCTCCTAGGGCTTCATATAAATTCATTAGACCGTCTAATCATGTCACTTAAATGAATAGGAACCTCAAAAAAATCAAGAATTTCAAAAGACATCACTGACAAATACCCCCCTCATACTCAAGTACTTATTCTTGACTTGCTTATGACTTAATGAATGCTTCCCCAGTTGGTGGAATTAAAATTTTAACTCTACAAATTGAAATGAATATTTTATGACATGTCCTCACCGGGATTATTAAAATTCCAGTTCCATAAATTCTTTTTTGACAATTTAAACCTCATAAAAATATTTATATCGTATCACTGATACTGAAATGTCTTTTTTTTTTGTGGTTCTCTTAATTCAATAATCAACGCCTTCCTGCTTCTGTCTGATAATTACAACTTCCATATCACAATGAGTGCATTTTTTACTTACTCTTCTTTCTACTCTACTTCCTCGGCTCTTTTGTTTTATTATCATCGTTCGTCTGTCTTTTCCAGTCTTTTCATATTGAATGATTGAATCATTCCGATTTAAATTGATTTTTATTTTTAGAATTTGTCTTGGATTTGATCACTTTTTGACATGTTTGAGTTGTCGATGGATGTAAGGAGATGATTTTATTGGTCCTAGGAGTCAAATTTGGATGTGAATTAGTAGTTAAATCTCAAAGAGTTGCACGTTTAGGGTTAATAATAAATCGGCTAGATTCAATTCGACTTTAGTCTGTTTTATTCAATTTTAATGTTTCCAAAGTATAGGTTAGAGATGGAAACGGAAATTATTCTCAAATTCCTATGTTTATCATCAATTCGTTCACATTCCGACTTATTCAACAATTAACATTCATTCTTAAATCAACATATTGCTCGGTTTTAACAATTGTTTCATTTATTCACAGAAATCAGTCATTTTAAACACAAAAAGCTTCCAAAAAATCAATTTCCATCCATGTCAGATATTCCTATTCATGAATATTTTCAGGATGAATTATTCTATTTTATTTCAAAATTTGAAAATTGAATTGCAAATCCTTTTATTGTGAATATTTTATGTTAGCTTTGGGCATATACAGGAATTTATTGGGATGAATGTGAGATTTGTAATGGATGATGCAGAAGCTTTTTGGGAATAATTGATTCACAAATTTTTATTGATCATTTGAAGTTTGAATTGGAATATTTGATGTTGAAAAGTTATCTTTGGTATTTTTGTTGAGATTGAGTGAGTTTTAAAGTTGATTGAATTGTTTTGAAGGTGTTGCTTTATTTTGGGTTAAGTATTTGAATTGAACAATGAAGAATGAAAGCTTTTCAAAGGTATAAGTTGAATTTAAGGTTGTATTACCTGTAATGATTTTTATCATATATTCCTTCAGATATTCAAGTTTTATTGACAGAACAGTGATCGCGAAGATATAAAAACAATCTATGGACAGGAAATACAAAATTAGCATCTGTAAATCGTCATTTCATCCAAAATTCATGTTTAAAAACGATCCTTCAATAAATTGCATGATACGACTCAAAACTAATCCAAAAATGCTGTAAATAGATCATAAGATCACAAACTTCAAGACACCTGACGTGTTACAAATCCCCAAAAAGACCCATCAACTTGCCACAAAAGATTAAAAACCTCAAAAATATCTTGTTGTCCAAAACTATTCTATATACAAAATACTGCTTATTCATCATCCACCTACGTCATTTTTTACTTTACAAATTTTTCTCATGACTGTTGTCGCGTTTTGTTTCCATTTGAGCTTCTTACTTCTTCAAAATAATTCTCCAATGTGATGCAATTAAGATAGAAGAAGAGAATGGGAAAATAAAATGAAATTTCTTCACATGAATAAGCATCAAAACAATTCGAAAAAAAATCAAATTATAAAATAACTTATAAGGCGAGACGGAGGATTATTATGATGCTTAATGATGGGAAAAATTTCATTTCTTTTTTGTGTTCTTGTAACATAATTTCAATTAATAATTGTATTCATTTAATTGCAGGAAATTCACCAAAGAATTCCAATGGGGAATCATCAGCATCATCAACCAATGACAGGTAAGTCACGAAGATTTATTATTGGAAAAGAAAAGAATTTTTTCGGGATTTAATTTTGAGAATGGAACACGATTTGGGATTATTATGAAAGTGAAAAGGAATTTGGTAACGGTTAAAATATATTTAAATAAATTATTCAAGAATCTTCATACTTTTAGTCACTAATTCAAATATTGCATAGTTGCAGACCCCTTTTTAAAATGGTTTTCCAATGCTGAAAGCAGTTATAGGTCCTGTTCCTGAAGATAGTTGCAATCCCGTTGATAAATTCAAACCAAAAAACAAGTTAAGAAAAATCTAGAAATTTAACGGTGAAATTAAATTTAAATTTTCATAGTTTCAACCCCTTTTTTGCAACTTTTTTTAGTTTCCTTGTTTACATTCCAAATTTCAAGCTACAAAACACAATTTCATTACAATTTTCCTCAACTTATCTCATATCCATTCTACAAAACTTAGCTTCTTCAAAGTCAAAACGACAAAATTAAATTAAGAATAAGAAGATAAGACTTTAATCCACATAATAAAATGTCGAATATAAAGACTAGCGATTTACTATTGACAATCTCGTGATTTACTCAACAAGTATCGACGACTATTTGCAGATTATGTTAACGCTATCCATAAAAATATTCAATCGATTTATGGGCATTGAATATATTTAAATAAATCTATCCAAAATAAGTAATGATTTAAAAACTTTGGTCCGTCTTAAAGGCTTGTCAATTCACTTCCGATTCTCGGCAAATGGATAACAATTTGATAATTACAGCTGTAAGACTTCGATGAACTCACGTTAATGATCAATGCACAGCACATCAAGTAATAATCATTAAGAACTTCCCTTTAAATGTCAGAGGAAATTCAACTCTTGTAAAGTATTGAGTTGGCTTCGCTTGTATTGCAACAGATCAAAGACTGTTCAGTGTATTTATTATCGTGGAATAATCAGGAAGCCACACAATTTTTTAATTCTTGATGAAGATGTTCTTTGGATTTTATGTGGAACGGATGTGATTCAGTTTTTATGAGGAATCAAAAAGATTCTAGTGAAATTTCATCAAAAATTGAGTTGTTGTGTTTATTATTTGGCTATAAAGCAGCAAATAGCTTTGTTTTAAATGATGATGACGTAATTAAGATTAAATTTGATAATGACTTAATTATTTTGTGGGGTGGATCAGGAGTGATGTCAAATTTAATCATAGAAATAAGAGGTAAAGTCCAAAAGCTTTTTCTAGCTACCCTTTAGCCAGAAGGGCCTAGCTGGTCATCAAAAGCATGCATTAAGATGGCACTTTTTAAAGTAATCGGTTATCCTTAAAGAACTTATCCAAAAGGCTTCTATTGTTCAATAGACATCACATATGAACCATCCCGCAAGCCAATTTAGTCACTATTATTCCATTACTGGGGGTCCTCGATTTGAGTAGATTCTATTTGAGTAGGAACAAAACAACTACTCAAATCGAGGACCCCCAGTATAGACATCCACAATCTCCATGTGACATGCAAACTAATCTTAAATTCTCTCAATTCCTCTTGTCCAGACCGCCAAAAGGCAATAAAAAAATTGTCCATAAAAACTTTTGTAGAATAGACGAATCTAATAGATCCATCATAATATTCAATTTCCAAAAATAATCTCAAAGCGATGGACAATAAATTTTTTATGTGGATTTTAAAAATATCAAGTTTCTTACATGTCACTTGATTTATGTTTCTGTAATGACGATGAGAAAGACAAAGAAAATAATCTTTTTTTTTCTGCGTGAGGTTTATTTCCTCAAAAAAACTTGTGTGTGATTCAATATCTATAGACACAGGCATTCCGAGCAAATAAATTTCGAGGAAAGAAAATTGCTTTCTTCTTGATTTCATTCATTGTCTTCCTCATCAATTTAATATTTTTTTTTTGTTTCACTTCCGAATGCTATAAAAATAAATTTTTGTGTGTGAAATCGAAAGGAGGAAAGGAACTAGTTTGAAATGCATTGGAATGTCTGGATATGAGGTATTGAGAGCGCATTTGTCTGACAACCTCTAATCGGCCCAATGATAAATCATCACTCAAATCCATTCCAATTGATAACATAATAAATCCAGCGGAAATACAAATAATATCCTCATAACTCATCTCAGAAATAGCATCAACATCCAATACCTTTATCAATTTTCCATGTGTCATGACAAGATTGAAAGAGTGTGAAATAAAATAAATTACAGCAGCAAATGGAAATGCACAAATGTACAGTTTCCATGTCTTTTGTGTGACCTCAGCCTTTACTTTATCTTAGCAACACTCAATCCTTAATATCATTACTGTAAATTCCTTATAGACTTATTCTACAAAATCTGCCATTTAGGTGCTCAAACATTATGTCATCTGTTGGTAATCCAAACAGATAGTTTGTTCGACAATTAGCAGAAAAAGTAATTAAAATGACAATCACTTAGACAACTGTTTATTCAAGTGCTTCTATAGCGTAACAGATTAGCAAATATTATTTTAATTGACTGGATTTGTTAGATGACGACAGTGAGATTAAAGTGAATGCTAAGTTCCTCAATTTGCTGTTTAATTTTGTGTGAATTTTGACGTGTGCTGGAAGGTGGATGTAAGTGATTTTGAGGTTTTATGGAGAGATTTTCTGGGAATCTAAGTTTCTTACATGATCAATTTTACTCGCTTTTCTTTGATAACTGGGGAAAAAGTCATGGGAACCTTACCTTGATTTTTTTTGCTAAAACCAGGCTATCATCTATGTATGTATCTGTTCCTCTTTTGTTTAGAATTGAAATCAACCCAATATTTTTTTATAGTCTAGTTTACTTAAGTCAACTTATCCTAATCTTAATAATGCCGCTAAAGCTTTGATGTAGAAGCTATTAAGCCATGACTCATAATATTCCAAAAACCAATGATAAAGCTGATAAAACTAAGTCAATAAATCAAGAAAACCTTTTCTCAATCAGTCAGTATGGCAATTAGTCACTGATCAAGTCCATAACTCAACCAACGATCCCTTAAGTCATTCAATTAGTCAACAAGTCTATCGATCTGTCAACAGGTCAGTCAATCAGTCTATGATAAAGATAATCAGTGTACAGTATTAAGGCTAGTCATAGAGTCAATCCAAGAGTCATGTCAAAAAAATCTCGATCAAAATCAGCTCTTGAAGAATTTGCCGTGAATTTATGCAAAGCAATTTTCGAGAACTAAAAGCACAGAGCAAAAAAAATTATTTTATTGACTCACAAATAATGAAAGAGATAGTAGGAAGAAGTAGCAGACGAATGTATTACGTATGAGTAATACAGCAACAACGAAGAAAAAAAGAGTTCATATTTATAATGCCTGCAAAAGTCAGTGCCTGAGCATTAAGTTAATAAAACGAGAGAATTTATTGATCGAGATCGTCTGGCATGTGTGTAGTTGTAGACATCTATGTATAAAATAATCTACAGTGACAATAATTTTTATGAGGGAACTGAGAAAAAGTCGAGACTTCATTAACGAAATGATGAAAAATATTATTAATGCGTGCAGGGAGAGACCCACAAAATAAGGGCAATTAGAATTCAATGGATGGATAAACAATGTGTAGACATATCTTATTAAGCATGTAAATTTTCGATTAGGGAGGCCCAGAATATTAAATTAATTGATTTAAATGTTTCTTCTTTTCTTCCTTCATTCGTTCCCAATGAGGCTGAAAATTCTGAGAATTAATCGTCGATTGAGAACATGTGAAGACCCTTCATTCGTAAAATCTGATAGGCTTACATTGTTGAGACATTCCTGAAGCTGAAGAATAATATTGGGAGATGCAGGGGTGTATCTTGGATTTTTTTGGTGTGAAATAGAGAGGCGCCTTAGTGATACACAACTGTCCTGGCTTGAGGTATAGCCAAAGGAGTTCTTGCTCTCTCGGTGGTTAGTTTATGGAATATCCTTGATATGTGGAGGTTAGGATACCGGTACTAGAGTATAGTTTCAGTTCAAAATCACTCAAGGGCTTGTTAAGCTTTGATTTGACTCTGTGAGCTTCATCAACTGTACACCATGGCTTGTACCAATCACCAGCACTGAAATTTAAGCCAGAATCCCCTAATACATCCCTAAATTCATAGCAACAACTTCAGCTCCCTAAGAAAATACTCTGATTAAGAACTGATGATGAAAAATTGAAGACGAATAGAGGAACTAGAAAAAATTTCATCAATGATCATTAATTTAAATGATCTGACAATTTTATTTTGAAAACGTTGAGTTATTTTTTTTTCATAGAATACATCCATCCTACATAGCTTTCTTCTTGTTCTGGCTTTGAACTTTCGCACTTGCTTCTTTATTTTGTATTTCATGCAACCGATTAATTTTCTCATGTTTAAGCATTCAGGTCGTTAGAGGGGAATTGGAAGAATTTTTTTAAAAAAAATTAGAATGCGCTATTTTTGGAAGCGATGGAATTGAAATTATTTTATTCAGCTGCACTATCATCAACTCCAACATTTAGAAACACATAAAAATTGTGACTTTTATGATCAATGATTGCGGAAGTGTGAAAGAATGGGAAGTGAAATGGTCTAATTTTATTATTATTTTGGAAACAGTTCTTGATTGACATAATTTGAGCAATTTATACACGCAGAGACCCATATGTTTATTCAAATTATGTGATCTGATTGTGCAGAGCGTAAATGACTGAAATAAGTCAAATGAAAATTTATGAATTTTATGAATGAAGCCAAATAAGAAGAGATTCTTTATTTGTGATTCCAATTGGCGGCAAATGAAGTGGAAATATAAGAAGTCAAAGTTCTGGTTGTACATACATAAGTACTGTTTGGTATTCATTACACCAGAGCAAATACACCTCAAATGTAAACATTACACGGAAAATTTTTGTGTAAAGTGATCTTTCCGTGCTTCTCAACAAATTAATGCCTCTCTTTTTCACATCTTTATTTCTCGAATTTTTCTCGTTCTTTACGAGACGACATGGGAAAATTAGAATGTACTAAGTCGTGTGTGATTGACTAAAGCGCTTCCCTTGAAGTTAATGTTAATGACAGCCAGACAGACACACGAAAAAACCTTTGGACAGCTGACATCCAGACAGACTTACGATCAGACAAAGCAAAAGCAGGAACACCTATTTTGTAGAAAATCGAGCTAAAGAGTGTAAAAAATTTTCAGTGGAGAAAAGAAAATCAACAAAAAATTCATTCTTAAAATATCATCACATGCTGCTGACTATTGCTGCCGACGCCAAAGAGAAAATTGAGAATAAACATGCATGATTGTGAGACTTTTAGTCTTTATTTTCTAGTCGTTCAGATTAAAAGTGCAAGAATTGAAAAAAGATATAGTCAGCAGAGAAAAATTTGGTTTCAGGCAATTTATGATCTCAGTGTCTGTCTAGTAATAAATGCCACCTGAATAAAATGAAAATGAAAATTTGTTTAGTGGAAGTTTTTCAAAACATAAATTAAAAGAAGATTTAGTATAATAAGTGTAATAAATCACGAGACATTGTGAATCAATTGACGCCCATCGTCAGTGAACTAATGATCATCTCATAATTATCCATCTGTCACATTCAAGTCAGAAGAAAGTCCCATGCCTTCGTCTCGTATTAATTTGAGTGCATTTTATGGGGGGACTTTAAATTTTTAAAAAATTTTTAAAAAAAGTGGAATTTCTTTTAATAAATAAGAAAACTCGCCTTTTTCTGACAAGTTATTTAGCTTCCTTTTGACTCGTTGTGGATGAGAATGAAATCTGTCATTGGAGAAACCATGCGAAAAAATGTTTTTGTGGGTGGATAAATAATTGCATTATATTACTAGTGACGCATTTTTGTTTAGAGAAAAGTGTTTAAATTTTGTTAATGACTCTAGTTTTGATGAGTTGAAAAATTAACGGAATTTTTTAATTTGAATTTCAATTTGGAATTTTTTTCTCCACTTCAAAAAGTTTTTGGATGATTATTTCTTTTAGACTTGCTTTTTTGAAGAGATATAAGTAAATTTGTGTGTAAAAAAATGGCAAAATATGAATTGATGTATAATCAGTTACAAAAGCATGCATTGTGAAAGTTTTTCAACAATTTTTTGTTCTTAGTAATTTAACGGCCTTAAAAAATTCAAATTTCCACACTTTCTCTCCAGACATTTGTATACAAAATTTATTCCCACTTGAATAAGTATTTTAATCATATTTTCACTAAAAAACCACAACAACACATTGCACAACTGCAATTTCAAGCAAAAAAACAGCAAGACTCGACTAAAACAATCCCCAACTCATAAAAACCGCTTCATTTCAAAGAAACATGTAATTTTAATTGCCGGCTTTTTAACGAGACAAAAGAAAATCATAAACACACATTCTGTGTGCCAAAAAAGCAGCTTTTAATAAAAATTAGAGCAAGAATGTGAATTCTTCTTACTTCATATACAGTTCAAATTCCTATAATGAATGAAATTCCATTTTTGATGTTGCTCTTTAATTTGAAGGAAAAAACATATTTGTTATTTAAATGTTATGTAGAGGGAAAAGCCTTGGGAAGAATTAGAGTTGTTTCATATCTTGCATAATAAAAATAATTAATATTTAATTTATAACATTTAATGAGAAACCTTCATCGTAGATCTCTGAGTCATTAATGCTTTAATTACCTTTGAATGATCAACAACACAAATTTTCCTCGCTTTAGTGACACAAAAATACTTAAAACTGTGAAAGAACAAGAAGTAGTGCACTTTTCATGAGAATATACGTTTCCACGAAAAAGAAAATAGATGAAAAAAAATATGTGTATGTGACTCGCTTGCTGGCTGAGCGTTTTTGCTCTATAATTAGGATCGTTTCGCGTATAAAGTTGTAAATTACGTCACTAATCTGTCTACAAATGTTTGAAAATAAACATTTTTTTTCTTTTAAAAGTGCGAAATTCATTATCAATTAGAGTCAATTAAGAACAAGTAATTTAAATAAACATGGCTAATGTGGATGCTGCTGCGAGTACGAGCGGTGAAACTGAAAGTGAAATTAATGACGATTTAACCGAATCATCGGAAAATATATTTTTGCAAAGCATATCGGAACTGATTGCTAATAGTGAGCAAGCATCTTCCGTGGGCAATGGCAGCTTATTATCAATTGAGGAAGTCGGTTCCATACCGCAACCACAATTTGGCTATTTCCTTCCACTGTCAGCAATACCGAAGCGGTTGAAAAGGTTTTTATTATTGGAAATTAATTGAATTTGTTTTATGATTTTTCTGGTGAAGTTGTATGATGAATGGGCGCATGAACTGTTGCTGAATATTTCACATTTATTTACTTTAGTTTTGCAACTTGTTTAAAACTGAGTAAATTGACTAAAAAATATGTCGCTTGACTAAAACCAATCAACTTGACTATAACGGACCGACTTGATTAAAACTGAACAGCTTAAACCAAACAATTTGGCTAAAACTGAGCAACTTGGCTGAATCTGAGCAACTTGACTAAAACATGAGCAACTTGATTAAAAAATGAGCAACTTGATTACGACTTTATTAAGAAAACTGATCTTTTGTTATCAATTGAGATAAATCTAAATAATTATTGATTGAAAAGCAGTAAAATATCAAAAAAAAAACAAATAATTCTTCACATCCAATAAACTTTTCAATCAGACAACCACTCAAAATAAACATTAAATTAAAATTTTCCATTAAAAATCCATCATAAAAATACTGCAGCAAGTAAAAAATAAAAATCGATATTAATTCAATTTCTTTCCATTTTTTTTCCATCAACAGGGATACACAACACGAGTCTAGCCGCTCACCCACACCTCTAATATCACAGCAACATCTCAGCACAAATGGCAATTACAATACAAACGGAAGATCAAAGCGCTTTAGTTCGCCAGGATATAGTGATTATGGATGTGATAAAGTAAACAGTCGCAATTTAAACGGAAAAGTTGGAAAACGAAGCATACGGTCGATGAATGAGGCAATAGAAGTTCTTGCGGATCAAGTGGAAGAGGAGAATATGGTGAGTTTAAATCCTTGCGATGCTGAGTCATTGAATACATATTACTTCCTTCTTTGATCACCCCAATAATATTAGTTTTTGACTCGAGGGAATTTCTTTGGTATCCATAGAAATTTATTAAAATCCTAATGCATACTCACATGTATGTGTATTATTTTTGAGGGTTGAAATATATTTTAACAAATTTAATAAAAGGAATTGGAATTCACTCACGTATAAGTGTGAGTTGGGATGAAAATCCAATTTTCAGTGGTAATTTTATGTTTGGTCTGGTCAGTGGCAATTTTATTGCAATCAATTTTTAATGAAATTCATAGAATAAATTCAATGTGTGGGCACTATTGCCAATTGCTAATATGAGAGCGCGAGATATGACGTTGATACCAAAGCTAATTGAACATCTGCTTGACACTTTCGACTACTTATCCTGTGGCTGTTTTCTGCATCTAAGTCGGAGACTTCACTTATGAAATAAATGTCAAAAGTGTCCTAAATACAGTGATATCCTTCATAATACTCATTAATATACCTTTAAATGTGCCAAAAACTATTCTTAATATAGCTTTTTGAAATTCCCCTTAAAATATCCATAAATATCCCTGAAAATTCCCTTAAAACCACTTTAAACGCGTCTCAAACTATTCCTAGTAAAATATCCTTCGAAAATAACCCTAAATATCCCTCAAAATATCCTCTAGATACCATTGATAGTGTCTAATCCTCCGGTCAAATTTTCCCCAAATATATATTTTGTCGATAATTTATCTCACAAAAAATGTCATAAATGAAAATTAATGAATTCACAATTGCGTGATTTTGCAGTACAAAACTCCTTCTCTTCACATAAAATATTCAATTCCACACACTATTAAACTTAATTGACAATACAAGCATACCAAAAACAATTTCTGCACAGGAGTCATGCATTAATTAGATTAAAAAAGAGTATTTCAGATCTGAGCATTTAAATGTCTCTTCATAATACCTTCAAGGTTAAGTAATTGTATTGCTTGTGGTCATCTATTAACATGAACATTTAGATATGCTTCTCGAAATAACAATTTTCAACCCTCGAGCTTGCTTCAACCCCTAAAAATATACAGAAGCAAGAACAACAAGCATTAAAAGAAAATGATAAGGACTGAGTTACGATATGATGTAATTACAGTATCACTAGAAATTCAGGTGTGTCAACTTGCTGCGTAGAATGAACATTTATGATATTCCCCTTCATTGATTGATTTGTAAGCACCATGTGTGCATATGACACAATGTAAAATTGAGACTAAACTGTAAGTAAAAATTGGGGATATTGTCAACAGCTCGCGCTAATCGACTTATAATGAAGTTGTGTTGGTCTGAGAAAAATGGAAGGGAGATGCAACTGACATCGATTTATATGTGCATTTAATTATGTAGGCTTGTGATTGGGAGAAATTAATAGTGATGGAAGGAGTAATTTTGATTACTTTTTCGTCGACATGTTGCGAGGATTTATGTGTCAACAAAATTGTGTGTGAATAAAAGTTTTTTTTTGGGAAGTTGTTTGATGTGGTTAAATAACAAGGGTAATTGCTGGATGTTGTAGGATATAGATTAGTTTTGGAATTTGTGGGAAAACATTTTAAAACTTGATTCTGTTTTCTAATGAAAAATTTAAAAATTGATGCTAAAATTGCAAAAAATGTTTCGCATCAAGAGTGCGTTTAGTTAAAAGAGATGCAGGAATTTTTTCATCAAATATGCGTTCAGTAAAAAAGATGCAATAAGTTTTCGAATTAAAAGTCCATTCAGAAAAGAATAACGCAGAAACTTTTGCAACAAAAATGCTTTCAGCAAAAAGATGCAATAATTTTCGCATCAAATGTGCGTTCAGTAAAAAAGATGCGAAATGTTTTTGCGTCAAAAGTGCATTCAGCAATAAAATAATGATTAATTACTCACCATTCAAACTTTTAATTGCTCATAACCAAGTATTCCCATACATCACAACAGACTTTTTTAAAATACCAAACAAAAATAGTTCTCTGCCCTACAGACGCTTGCAGTCTATTTACATTTTCGAAGTGAAACAATCTATTTTATGATGAAAACTTATCAAGAGAGAAGGCAGCATTGAATAATAATTATTGGTATTAGTTTGGGGGTCGTTCACACGTTAAGGAACACAAAATATTAATTTTCTTAACTAATTTCGGAATTGCCAAAGACTTTTCATCAAGAAAGTGAAATGTTTGTCAGTCTAAAAGGGAGAGAGCCCTAAAAGCAATCAAACTAAGTGAACGACCCCTTGCAACCAATACACATTGTGTCATACGCAAGTCAAACAATATGCGAACTTGAAATTCGAAGCCAGAAAGGGAGGCAATAATTAATTTAAAAGCGAAGACTCTCATCAGTCGTCGTATGTCGGTTCGTGAGCGTGAAAGTAAATAAAAACATTTGGGAAGAAAGTTTCTAAGTTTTTAAAAAATTTGTTTAGAAAAAGTGAAAAAATAATATTTTTGAATTTTTAAAAAATGCATTTAAATTTCCTGACATGTCATCAACGCGATAAACAACCAAAAAGCAATGTGTCAAGTCGGAAAGCTGTTAAGAAAAAATCAAAAAATCATAAAAAGACATCAACACACCGTCGACGTCTCAAAACATCTTACGTATCATCAAATCTATTCTCAAAAAATTTCTATCCCGCAAATTATTTCTTTCAAAACGATTATCGTACGCATATTAATGATGATTCTCCGCGAGTGGGTGTAAATGATCAGAATGGATTTTTGATAACACAACGAAATCCGCCTCAATTGCCATTGCCACCGAGCAAAAAATTGCCATCGAGTCGATGGCTTTTACAACAATATCAAAATCAACAGCATCATTATCTTCACATGAAGGTGGGTTCTTTGCTGTGCTGACTATGTGATCATCACATAGATTGTCATTATTATTGTTATTGAACTTTTTTAAGATGTTATAAGCGAGACATTGTATGAGATAATGGTGATGGAAGCGATATTTAAAGTGTTTTTTTAAAGGGTGAACTTTAAAGAGATTCGTGAAGGAATTCAATGTTCTTACTAAGTTCAAATGCAATTTTAAAGATATCAATAAAGTGCAAATATATGGCATGACTAGGCATGTTGTACATTTAGAGCAGTAGTGTGTGTGATTCTATAATTTCTTGATGCATTTGTTTATGAGACGTTTTACTTCTTTAAGCCACACTAGTCTGTCTTCGGGTATAGTTCAGGTTGAGTCTAGCGTAAAGCTTCATTTCTAGGATAATCGTAAGTTACATTCTTATAGTTGGGAGGCTAGATCTTATTGACCATTGCTTCTGTTGCGTCACATTGGGTCAAACCAGGGGCGTAGCCAGAAAATTTTTCAAGGGGGGGCCCATTTTTGAAAATTAAAAAACCGTTATTTTGTATCCTTAAATCTATATTCATTCTTCATAAGTTTAAATATTTAATTCATTATTCATACATTAAATTTAATTTTTCGTGCTGATTTTGACATTTCTTTCATCACTTCCTCTACATTAACTGGTTCTTCTCTATAAATACTTAATAAAGCAATTATCAGATTTTCGTAGGGGGGGCCCGGGCCCCCTATGGCCCCCCCCTGGCTACGCCCCTGGGTCAAACTATTGATATATTTAAGATATTCTCGTCTAATCGGGTGTTTACTCTTATACTAGGTTCATCTCATGATACTTTACTAAGGTTAGTGAATGGTTACATTCGGTGCCTGATTTTAGAATCGAAAATTGATGAACTATTCTTCGGATGTACATGAAAATTGACTTTGATTAATTAAGCCCTAGAAACCTTCAAGGGTGTGAAACTTATGTTTGGATAATTTTTGATCATTTTGGTCAGCTCTTGCCTCTGATCCTAAAAATCCAAAAAACTTAAATTTATATCTTGGGGTTCATTTTGAACTTATACTAAGATATGCAACAATCCCACAAACTCAAAAAAATCTGCAATTCATGCTAAACTCCCAACAATCCAACCTGATACACTTCACCAAAAACTATAAATCAACACACCTTCTCATAATTTTCAACAAGATAATCTCAAAAATATGCAAAGTAAAGTCATAAAAAAACTTCTAGACATAACCTCAAATCTTTCCTCATTCCAAAAAATTCTGCCAATAAATCCGCTCCATAGGACTCACTTTAAAAGTCAGCTTGAATTTCATCTAAAATATTTTCTTAAGAAATTTTATCAATTTCCTGCTTATCGTTTATTGTTTTGATTGATATCAATACGACAAAGAAGAAGACATAGAAGCGTGCGTGTGCATTCTTTCTTGGGGAAAAAGGTTTTAAATTTCATGAACAAATTTTTTTACATAGCTGAAGTCGAAAATCGCCTCAAATGTTTTCATAGAAACTATTGTGAGGTTTTTAAGCACTCAGCACAGGCTATGCATTTATTTACGCTACGTCTGCATTAAAAATCAATTTTTAATCCTCTTTGGACATTCGTGCTCTCGATTTTCTGCTGAGCTAGCTCAATTTCTTAATTGTTTAAATTTAATTAAATTACTCCATCAAAAAAAAAATATATATCCGTAAAGTCCTCAATTTACTAGGTTTTGAAAAATCCGATTATAAAAAAAATCAATTAAATTTTAAACGTGTGCATCCCACGTGTGATTATTGAGACAATTTCTTAATTATTTGAGCCTTATTAACAGCTATTAAAGTGAGCTTAATTTTACCTCAATTATCATCTCTTGATCGCCTATTTTCTCCTCATATTTAAATTGTCATAGCACGACTTTAGTTAATAAATTCAAATTGGATACGACAGAGTGAAAAATAAAATAGAGTTGGTTGTAGACATTCCAAAAAATCGAGAGTAATAGAAATAAAGAAAAATATCATGAGAGACATTGAAATTGAAAGGAATATTTAGCACACATTTAAATATACATGTATATCTAATAATGTGAGACACACCTGCACGAGAGTCAATCTGATTTGC